CTTCGAAATCTTTATTATCGTTTTTTTTCTACTGAAAGAAATTTCTGAAATCGATATGCTTTAAAAAAAAGAGCTGTACCCTGAGCCGATAGTATAGTGCGTGAACATCTACCAACAAAGGTTAAAAATGTTTCTTATCAATAGTCCTGAAAGTTGAATGAAGGAGCAGAACTCAATCAGAGATCAACTGAGGAGATTGAGCACACAAGGGCAATCTCGACAATCAAACTACAACTTCAAAAAATAACCATTGAAATGAAATAGAAGATCTGTAATGAAATGCTTTTCAGATCCGGGATATTTTAAGAAGTTGGTGAAAGAGGAAAGTGCCGGACCGGATGGGAAGGACGAGGATCGGATCCCGGTGAAAGACTCACTGGAAACCGATCCCCCCCCCCCCCACGGCAAAAAAAAATTTTACACACAAAACACAAGGGAAAGCCCCCCCGGAAACCCCCCCCCCCCCCCCCCAACGGCAAAACAAGATTCTCAACCGAAAGTTCAGAGGAAGCCCGCTGGACTGCCTGTGATATGAGTATAATTATTTATTGAAAATTTGAAAAAGTTATGATGGAAAAAATGGGCATGACCCCTCCACTATATGAGCTTTTTGGGATCAAACTTACCTTCTTCTGCTCCTGCTACGGCTTCTGATGCAATCTGCAATCTGTTTTTTCTTTCTATTTCACTGTGTTACTGTATTTCTGTTTTGATTTCAATGTTTTTTTTTCAATGCTGATAGCCTCATCTATCAACAAAACCCAATGAAAACTTCCGAAAAAAAAAATTTTTTTTAATGAAATCACTGAATCAAAAAGTTAGCGTAGCAAAACAAGAAATCCTTCTGAAAGAGAACAAAAGCTTCCCAAATTATAAGGTCAAAAGTGGGAAGACATCTAATGAATAGGAAGAACATCGAAAGAAGAAGAAGCATCGTAAGAATTCAAGCTCACAAGACTTCAACATCCTAACAATCAGAAGAAACATCGTAGAACTTCAAGCTTGAATACCAGAACACATCGAAGGGAGAAGAAGCATCGTAAGAATACAAGCTTATAAGAGTACAACATCCTAACAATTCGAAGAAACATCGTAAGATGAAAAGGTGAGAAGACATCTGAATAGGAAGAACATCGAAAGAAAAAGAAGCATCGTAAGAATTCAAGCTTATAAGAGTTCGACATCCTAACAATCAAAAGAAGCATCGTAAGAAATTAAGCTCACAAGACTTCGACATCCTAA